TTTAGCTGTGGGGTATTTCTCTGCCTTTTCATCTTGTTTAGATTGCTGTGTCTGGAGTGGGCTTTCTGTATTCTTGTGGTCTGAGGTTCCTTTTTATTGTGGAGGTTTCACCCAGTGGGTGGGGTTGGACGATTGGTTTGTCAAGGTTTCCTGGTTAGGGAAGCTTGTGTCAGTGTTCTGGTGCGTGGAATTGGATTTCTTCTCTCTGGAGTGCAATGGAGTGTCCAGTAATGAGTTTTGCGATGGATCTATGTCTTAGGTGTGACTTTGGAGAGCCTGTATGTTGACACTCAGGTCTATGTTTCTGCGTTGCTAAAGAATTTGCGTGGTATGTCTTGTACTGGAGCTTACTGGCTCTTGGGTGGTGGTTGGTTTTGGTGTAGGTATGGAAGCTTTTGGATGGTCTCTTATTCCTTAATGTTCCATGTAGTCAGGAGTTTTCTGGTTTTCTCAAGATTTGGGCTTAAGTCTCCTGCCTCTGGATTTCAGTTTTGTTCTTCCAATAGTCTCAAGACTTCTCCAACTATACAGCACTGATAATAAAACTTCTAGGTTAATGGTGAAAAGATTCTCCACCGTGAGAGACAACCAGAGAGGTTCACAGAGTTACATGAAGAATAGGAGAGGGAGGAAGGAGATAGAGGTGATCAGGAGGAGAAAAAGGGGACTCAAGAGGAGAGAGACAGATCTACGCAGTTATCTGTTCCCAAAGTGTTCTCCGTAGCCCAGACACCCACAAAGATTCACAGAGTTGGATTGGGAAGAGAAGGGGAAAGGAGGAAATAGAGGTGTTCCGAGGTAGAAAACAGAGAGTCAAAAGTGGGAGAGTAATCACCACACTCCTGAATAGAAATGGGAACTGAATATTGGATTCTTAAATGACCAAAATTTATATCACATACTACTGAAAAACAAAGATTAAAAATCTAGTGTAGAGGTTAGACTCTTTGAAATACAATATTTAAAAACAAAAACACACAAAAAAATTTAGAAATGTATATGAAGTTTGATTTAAAAATAGGGTTTTCCTCTCTCTTTTTTTTTTGGCAAGGTTATAGTGAAATGAAAATGAAAATTAAGGAATAATAGAGGAGTATTAGAGGACTTTAAAAGGAAATAGGAGAGAAAAACAAGAAAAAGAAAAAAAAAGAAAAAAAAATTTTTTTCCCTAATTAAAAAAATCATAAAAATATGAAAATGAAAGTTGAGGAGTAATGGGGGAGTAATAGGGAATTTTAAAAGAAAATAAAAGAGAAAAAAATTAAAAAAAATAAAAAAAAAGGATAGAAAAGAAAATTTTTTTTTAATTAAAAAAAATATATATATATATCTAGGAATTTCTCTGGAGTTGTTGCGGTCAGTGTAGGTTCAGTTCAATTTCAGATAGCTCCTCTTTCCAGCTTACACTTCTCGATATCTGTAGGCCCCTTCTGGTGTAGTCGGTGTTACCTTTAGGGATTTTAGTCTGTTGCACCAGTCCTTTCTGAAGCGGTTCCCTTTGTTTATTTGGCTTCTGTTTGCCGTCTCTTTGGTGTCTAATTTCCGCCCTGACACAGGCGGGTGGAGGTGATCTCTTATTTAGGTTCTCTAGTTCAGTTCAGTCCTGCTACGGGGAGGGCGGGGCGCTGCAGACAGATACCGCTCTGTGTGGATAGCACTCACCGTGTTCCGGTCACACTGGGTTTGCCCCGCTCACGGGTGTCAGTGCTTTCCCCGTCTACACTGCTCAGGCTCCCGGCTGCTCTATATGGAGCGGGCCCTGCGTTGAGTGCGGTTCCAGTTTTCGGGTACTCCACAAAAACGCAGATTCGGTTGCGCCTGCGTTTTGTGCCTTCCCCGGCCTGAGCGGTTCAGGCAGCCAGAGGCTTGGGCGTACTCTCCCTGGGTATGGCACGCCTTTTCCCTCCGCGTCGAGGGGCCCAGGCAGCCAGAGGCTTGGGCGCACTCTCCCCGGGGGTGGTGCTCCTTTTCCCTCCGCGGCGGGCAGCCTAGGCAGCCAGAGGCTTGGGCGCAATCTCCCCGGGTACGGCGCGCTTTTTCCCTCCGCGGCCCCAGCGCGCGCCGCCAGTCGGGTCTCAGGAAGTCTTTAGATAGGAACCGGGGGCCTGTTTGCAGTGTGGGATCGGGTGGCTTCTCAGGGGCTGAGTTTGCCCTTTTCCCCTACCCCCTGCCTCCAACCTCCAGCGGGGATGGGCCAGCTCTTCTCTGGACTTTCTCAGTCCCTTTGTTTTGCGAACCGCAGGCAGTGTGTTCGGGCCCTAAGCAATGCCGCCCGCTCCTCTCCGTCCCGCCCCCGCTTGTTGCTGGCGGGTACGGGCGTCTGGGGTACTTTTCTGCTGGGAGTTGCTTTTAGGCACGTAATCTGTGGGCCTTGTTTAATTTTTCCTCCCAGTTAGATTGCTGAAAACTTCCCCCAGTCCCGCCAGTGCGAGGGTTTCCTGGTGATTGGAAACTTCCTCTATTAAGACTCCCTTCCCGGGACGGGTCTCCGCCCGTAGCTCTTTTGACTCCCTTTTTATCTTTTATATTTTGTCCTACCTCCCTTCGAAGACAATGGGCTGCTTTTCTGGGCGCCTGATGTCCTCTGCTAGCGATCAGAAGTTGTTTTGTGCAATTTGCTCAGCATTCAAATGTTCTTTCGATGAATTTGTAGGAGAGAAAGTGGTCTCCCCGTCCTATTCCTCCGCCATCTTGGCTCCTCCCCCCAAAGATGGATTTCAAAGTAAGTTGTAGACACCATTCTTCCCCATTAAAACTTCAGCATACGTATCATTTACTAGAGTTTGGATCTATTTTTTTCTTTTGATGTGATGTCTACATATAATGAAATGAGCAAAGCTTATGTGTACACTTGCTGCGTTTTAACAAATGAGATAACCCAAATACCTATCAAGGTATAGAACATCATTATCCCACAAAGTTCCCTCATTCCCCTTCCCAGTTGTTCCCCACCCCGATCTCTACTTCCCCTTAGAGATAGTCACTATTCTGATATTTTTCTGCCCTAGTTTTACCTGTTTTAAAATTTTATGTGAATATAATCATAAAATACGTACTCTTTACGAACGGTTTCTTAAACTCAGTGCAGTGTTTTTGAGATTCTTCATGTTGCTTCATATATCAGTAGTCTGTTTGTATTGCTGAGTAGTATTTCATTGTATGGGTATTCCACAGTTTGTCCATTCTCCTGTTGAGGGACACCTGGGCTATTTCTAATTTGGGTCTCTTATGGATAAAGCTGCTATGAATATGCTTGTAAAAGTCTTTGTGAACATGTGTTTTCAATTCCCTTGGGCAGATACCTAGGAATGAAATTTATGGGTTATAGATAGGTGTGTTTAGTTTTACAAGAACCTGCTGGTCATTCTTCCACAGTTGTACCTTATCTCCTACTTTTACAAGAACTCTATGCACCTGGTTTTCTACTTCTAAGCCTTTGCTAACATGGTGAACCTACTCACATTCTTTGCTCCCCACTCTTCCATCTAATTTCCTATTTAAATCCTATCATTTTCATGATCCCACCCCGATTACATTTCAAAGTGATGTTTTTGAGTTCTTCTAGTCCTTGCCTGCCATTTTTTTAACAGCTTGAGATATAATTCATACACCATACAAGTCATCCATGTAAAGTATATATAATTCAGTGCTTTTTAGTATATTCACAGATTTGTGCAGCCATCACCACTATCTAATTCCAGAACATTTTCATAACCCCAAAAGAAACCCTGTACCCATTAGCAGTTAGTCTTCATTCTCTCTGACCCTGGCAACTACTGTTCTGCTTTCCATCTCTAGATTTGCCTATTCTGGATATACAGTTCTGCCTATTCTGGAGTCATATAATATGTGGTCTTTTGTAGGCTTACTTCTTTCACTTGGCATAGTGTTTTCAGGGTTCATCCATGTTATAACATATGTCAGTATTTCCTTCTTTTTTTCAGCTGAGTAACAGTCCATTATATATAGATACACTATTTTATTATCTATTAGTTGATGGACATTTGGGTTGTTAACACATTTTTGCTATTGTGAATAATACTGGTGTGTATTTTGTATGCAAATTTTGTGTGGATGTATTCACATACCAAGAGGTGGAATCCCATGCCATTTGTGGATTTACTTCCTGCTGTTATCTTTTCATATTCTTTAGCTTGAGCATTAGGCTTTTATACCGTACTCCCACATAATAGAATACAAGCTCATTCTTTTAAAGAGGCAGTAAATACATTTGTATGTATTGGGAGTCTTCAACTTAAGAAGGAGGGGCTCTCTGAGAGTTTGTTAGTGAAACTCGTTACACTGATAAGAATATATGTAAATTCCAGGTCAGTCAGTGAAAATGCATTTAGAGCTGTAATTGAAATGCTAAGGTTATTCCCTCTTCTCTCATACATCTAAGTTTTTGTTTATTTGTAGGCATTTTTAATTAAGTTCTATGTCTGGAGAAATTTTATCACCTTAGGGTATAATTTGAGTTACCTTGCTCATTGCCTCCTCTTTTTGGAGTTCTAGTGGTGGTGGTATGTTTGTCATGTTAAATAAAAACAAGGTAGATTATTTTAAACAGTGCTGGTTATCTTAGTGGACATCACTGATCCTGGCATTCATAGATCATTAATTTGTACTGTGTCTTAACTCCAAAGACCAGTATGATTGCTTTTGTAGTAGATTTGTATTAAAATAAAATTCTAGTCTTGAGACAAGCAAGAAAATGCCTTTATTACATTATTTCTATTTGCATAGTAGTATTCCTATAACATCTGCCTAATATTAAGAGTAGAATTAAAATATGTATTTTTGATTAAACCTTTGGTTAGAACATGATCTTAGTATTAGGTAAATGGTCATTTACTATAAGGTAGGATTGAGGGTAGTGTTGATGTGGGAAGACTACATTTGTTGTATACACATTAATAGTCGAAGAGAAGAGCTCTTTAAGTGGTAAGTTTTAATTTTTTATGTCATCTAGTCACTAAAATTTAAATATTTAATTTTAGATACAAAAGTTTTGCAGTACTATTTCAATCTGGGATTACAGGTAAGAGTCCTGTTAAAATTTCTTTGATTTAAAAAAAGCTATCTTAAAAATGTAAGCTGTTTTGATAATCAGACTCTTGAACCTTAAAATTCAAGAACACTTTGAGTGACCTAAAAGGTTTATTTCTGTCTTTATATCTCTGAAGGTGACCCAGGCCAATTTTGTACTTTAACCTCCTAGTGCTTCAGCTTCTCTTATAAAATAGTGAAATTGTTGTGAATGGGGTTTCTATGCGGTACAACTTTAGCATATATTGGCTTCCATGTTTAACATCATATGCTAACCATTCGCTATGTTTTTCTGTCTCAAATGGATTATTTATCCTATTTACTTAAAACATTTTTGTGGCTATTTCTATATTTTATGTGAAAAGTAATTAGACTAAGTCAAAGACATTTAAAGAGCTATATTATTTTTAAAGCACTTGTGTTCATAGATACTTGCCAAACACTGATTTTTACCATTTCCCTGAGTTGTAGAAAGGGAATACTGACAAATATCTTAATATCACTGAAAGGTATGTCTGATATCAGGTAAGAAACTATCTTCCCCAATAGTCACACATTTATAATTTAAGGGTAATGGAGTGGATTTTTGTTCTTGAAACTCTATTTCCTAAATGCAGTTTCAAGAATTGGAGAAATAAAATGCTTGCCCCTTCAGTTATGTTTATTATAGTGACATGTGGAAACAAAGCAGAGGCAGTTTTATTATTTATTTATTTTTAGTGTTTTTAAGTATAGTTGCTGTACCATATTATATGTTACGGATGTACAGTATAGTGATGCACAATTTTTAAAGGTTATGCTCCATTTATAAATATTTATAAAATATTGACTATGTTCCCTGTGTTGTGCAGTAAAGTCTCCTACATTTTGTTGTTATTGTCGTTTAGTCACTAAGCCATGTCATATTCTTTTGTGACCCCATGGACTGTAGCCTGCTAGGCTCCTCTGCCCATGGGATTTCCCAGGCAAGAATTCTGGAGTGGGGTGCCATTTCCTTCTCCAGGGAATCTTCCTGACACAGAGATCGAACCCACATCTCCTGCATTGCAAGCAGATTCATATATAGAATAGATATTTTAATATTTTCTCATATTAAAAGTAATAGCACTCATTATGGAGCATATGGAAAAATACTAATGTGTAAAGAAAACTGAAATCACTTGTGTAATCAATGTACATTTTGATATATTTCCTTACAGCTTATTTCATAAAATGTGGACTATGCTATGTAATTTTGTAAACTTTTTAAGTTAAACAATATGAACACTTTTTAAAATTTGATGCCATGGTTTTTTTATTGCCTGTATTGTATTCCATCATGTCTGTGTCATAATGCACTCTAGTTTCTTATTGAATATTTAGGCTGTTATTTTTTTTTTGCCTTTAAAAATAATGCTATAACAAATATCTTTGTATACAAACCATTGTGTATATCTCTAGTTTTCTTAGAGTGCTTTCCTTAAAGAATTCCTGGTCCAAATATGAAATACAGAGGCTGCGAAAGATCTTAAAGTTGCTATAGAGAATAGATTTTCTAAATATCATGTCATTTATTTCAAAAGTCATTGTTATCTCACCTGAAAATCATGGCCTAGCTTTTTTTTTTCCTCAGTGAACAATGGTACTACTTTAAGAAAAGAAATTAGTAAAGTGTTTGTTTTTTTTTTACTTTCTTGCCCAAGTGCTATCACCACAGCTACTGGCACTCCATGGTCTATGTGCCACAGATGCAACAGCAGCAGCTTCATCCAGAGAATTATCCAGTCTATACTGAGCCGCCACCTCTAGTAGATCAAACCATTCCTCAGTTATACAGTGAGGTGGAGAGACAAGATGGCACACAGGCAGAAGTATCAGCAAATGGTAAGCGTGTAGTGAGAAATTTTCTACAAGAAAGACAATTGAATTTTATTGTGTATAACAATAATAGACTTCAGATAGACCAACATTTCTTTTTTTTACATAACCATGTAACTGTGTATTGCAACAAAATTGTAGAAATAGGAAGTTCAGTTTAAACGTTTTCCTAAATTCGGTTCATTTAATCAGTAGCTTTATTTTTTAATTTTGCATACATATATATATATATTTTGAGAAGCAAATGGCAACCCACTCCAATATTCTTGCCTGGAGAAGCCCATGGACAGAGGAGCCTGGTAGGCTATAGTCCATGGGGTTGCAAGAGTTGGACACGACTTAGCGACTAAACCACCCATATATATTTTTAATTGGAGGATAATTGCTTTACAATGTTGTGGTGGTCTCTACCATACATCACTGTGGATCAGTCATAATTTTATATACGTGTCTTCTCCCTCTTGAGCCTTCCCCCCTCCATTTCACCCCTCTGGGTTGTCAACCGAGCACCAGGCTGAGCTCCCTATGTTATACAGCAGCTTCCCACTAGCTAGCTGTTTTACACATGATAGTGTGTATATGTCAATGCTACTTTCTCAATTTGTCCTACCCTCTCCTTTCTCCCTCTGTGTCCACCTGTCTATTCTCTACGTCTACATTTGCATTTCTTCTCTGTGAATAGTTCATCAGTACTGTTTTTTAGACTCTGTATATGTGCGTTAATATACTATATTTGTTTTTCTCTTTCTGACTTTCTTCACTGTGCATAAGAGGCTCTAGGTTCATCCACCTCACAACCAACTCAAATCTGTTCCTTTTTATGGTTGAGTAATATGTACCATGACTTTGTTATCCATTCATCCTACACCAGCATTTTTTAAAGCATGGTACAAGAGTTCCCTTGGAACTCTTTCAAGGGCTCCATGAGGCTAAAAGTATTCATTGTAATACATGGATTTTGTCTCTTTTGCTGTGTTAGATTTGCATTAAGGGTGCAAAAATCAGTGTGGGTAGAATAGCTGACACCTAAGCACAAATCAAAGTAGGGGCACCAAACTGCTAGTAATCAGCATCTTCACACATGCTTGATATAAAAATGTCAGCTTTATTTGTTTTGTGTTTGATCAAAGAAGCTCTTATTTTACTAAATTTTTAATCTTTGAAAAATTGTATTTAATATTGTATATGACAAAATAGGAAGTATTCAGAAAGCTCTCTACATATCTAAGTATGATAATTGACTTTTAAAAAAAAGGATTTGTGAGCTTGAGTTTCGAGCTAAACTAGCTGACTTTCATGGAATGCTATTTTTACTTGACAGAATGATAGACAAACTGTGGTTGTTCAGACTGGGGATCTGGCAGACATTTTCTCAAATGAACAGCTAAGCCTGTCACTTCAAGGAGGGCAATGGATAGTATGTTTTTTTGTCAAAGATAGAAATTCCAACTTTCAAATATAAGTTATCCAAAATTCTAATTTTTATCTAATAACCATGAGCTTGACAGCTTCTAGTACATAATTGTTTCTTTTAATAAAATAGATGATGGGGGGCTATTTATGATACGGGTTTTTACATTGTATAATGAAATGTGTCAACCTGTGGGAGATCTGTATAACTTAGTGAAATAGTATTTTCCCAGTTACTGTGTATAGTCTTACCTGTGCATGATTTTGTAAAAGATGTCTGCAAGAAAAAACAATAGATTTTAATGTTAACAAAGTATGAATAGTCTACATTGTGATTGACCTCTCAAATCACCACTTACCTAGTTTTGGTGTAGCATCAAAAAATACCTACAGTTATCTGCAAAGGCTAATTATTAAGACTTCTCTCTTTTCCAGCTACATATCTGTATGAGGCCAGATTTTCTTCATGTATTTCAACTAAATATATTGTAATGTGTATGTGCATTAAGCTGCTTCAGTCATGTCCGACTTTTTGCGACGCTATGGACTATAGCCCACCAGGCTCCTCTGTCCGTGGTATTCTCCAGGCAAGAATACTGAAGTGGCTATATTGTAATAGATAAAATACAGAAGCAAATATGAGAACCCAGCTGTCTTCTGTTAGGCCATACATTAGAGATTACACAAGTGTAAAACAGTGCCACTGGTTTCACAATTTTTTTGGGGGGGTGAATAATACAGATTTTTATGAAAAATGAGTTTAACATAATGGGTTTATTTTTATGTGAAATAACATATTTAACTTAGTTTAATTCCTAATGGGATAAATATTGATACATATAACCCACATAAGGAAAAGCTATTTGAGGTCCTCAATTTTTAAGATTGTAAAGGGATCCTGAGACCAAAGAGTTTGAGACCTCTGTGCCAGACCATAAGGATGCTTGCTTTTTCTGTCAGTTTATAGTATAATATAGATCAGGAGACATTTTGAAGGGTTTAGAATAGGATCTTTGGACTGCCCATCTTAGAATCAGCAGGAAGTAGAACAATGTATACTAACCTAACCAAATCTTCTTTCCATTCCAGCAACTGCTACTTGATGGATGTGATTTCCACTAAGTTACCTAACCTCCCTAAGTCTGATTTATATGTATAAGTATACTCATCCTGTTGCATGTGAGGAATATGAATTTTCTTTCTCTCCTCCCTTTTCAAAGCATATTATAGTTTACAATATTAGGACTATAAAATCTCATCCCTTATGTGGTGGTATGATGTGCTCTATGGTAATACAAACTAAAATATCAACTTTTACTGCCTTTTTGTTCCACTTACCTTTTATAGAGCTATTTTTATTGTAGTAAACATGAGACAGTGCCTATCTTAATTTCACAAAATGAAGTTATCCCAAGTAATAAAGGAATCCATTAAAAAAATTCATATAGTCACTATAATGGCAGAACAGCATCTGTTTATTTCCACTGAAACTGATGCAGTAGAAGTGCTATAAAATTAAAATGATGCTAGCATGTTAATGACATTCAAGAGGTGACTATTAAATTTTTGGAATGCTTTTCAGAATTTTGCCTTCAAGTATAGACCAGACTATAAAAACACTTGAATTTTTAATTGCTAAAATAATACAAAATGGTTATTTGGGTGATATGTGTCATACAGAAAAAATATTTGATAATTGTGACCAATTCTTTTAAGAACTTAATTGACAAAAATGACTCTAGAGAATGTTTCTTTGTGTATTTTGTCTGTTGATACCTAACTCATCCAAGAAAGGTAGCTGTCTCTAGGTAGAGTACATTTGATACATTTTATATACATATATGTTTAATTTTTTTAATTAGAAAATTTTTATATTTTAGTAGCCTGTTTTGGTCAGTAATGTTCATATCTAAAGTGTTCCTCTTAGAATTGTAGGATATTTTCTTTTTTTTTGTAGGATATTTTCTTAGAGTTAATGCTAAATTTCATTTTTACCTCAAGAACATCCATTTACGTTGATGTTTAGTGAATCTTTGTATATGAAGTGTACTGTGTGCTTTGTTTCAGGTACTTTTCCAAATGCTGACCCTGCATCTGTCCCTCATGGAACAGTCTATTATCCAGTGATGTCAGATCCATATGGGCAGCCACCTTTGCCAGGTTTTGATTCCTGCCTTCCTGTTGTGGCAGATTATCCCTGCGTTGCTCCCTGGCATCCAGTTGGTGCAGCGTATGGTGGTTCTCCGCAGATTCATGGTGCTATGAGTCCTGGACCACTTGGCTATATTGCTACCCCTCCCTCAGCTTCTCATTATGTACCTCAGAATATGTAAGATTCAGCAGTATGAAATATTCTTGCACTGCCATCTTTCTTGCTATTTTGGCTTTAAAAAGTGTTTTATGTTAGTGTTTAAGTGATTTAGGGTGGTTAGAGTGGTTCTATTGTGTCTGTCTTAAAGATTATTTTATCTTTTGATTTAAAGTAGTACCTTAAAATAAAGGAGTATTTCTTTGGGTTGTGAATAACGAAATTGAGATGAATGTACAACTAACCCCATATTTGAGCACATTTCATTGTATTCAGCTGTTTTCCTTTCAGCCAGCTTGTCAGCTTTATATTAGCTGATGGTACCAATTGATAAAAGGAATAAATCATACAAACTGTTTCCTTGGTTCAGATGTCACACATCATATTAAACAATGCAAAATTGGAAAGCCTTCTACTTTTTTCTAGAAAATGAAGCAAAACCAAGAGCATTTGCTTGTGGGTAACTAACTTAATAATATTAAAAGAGAGAGCTCTTCAGGTTTCTTAGGAATCATCTGACCTGAGTTGCATTCTATAATATTAACCAGTTTTGAAGGCACATGGTGCTCTGCTTTAGATTTATCCCATATGCTATTGTTTAATATTGGATTTATGTAATTGTTTTACTGCACAGTATTGATGTCCTTTACACAGTTAGCAGTAAATAAAAATTAGCATTTAAAATTGCTAAAATGAGTGAGATGTTTTTCTCTTTTGCATTTTCATGGCAGCAAAGAGTACCAGGTATTTGATTGTTTCAATATGTTTTCCCCCTGGTATTTTGGTTGGCAAAAAACATGAATTTATAGCATGAACTGGCAGGGTCAATTGAAATGTTATTTAATCTCAAGATATTGCAATACTACCATATCTAGTTCTTTTCTCTTGAGAATGTTCCTTTAAGTTGTGTTTCTGTTTTTCCTTTTTTAAATCTACTAATTCCCTTATGAAATTTTAATCTAGATTTACTTTCTCATTGTCCTGTTCTTCAGCTAGTTGTTGAATCTTTTTAAAATTAATTAATGTATTTTAATTGGAGGCTAATTACTTTACAATACTGTAGTGGTTTTTGGCATACATTGATATGAATCAGCCATGGGTGTACATGTGTTCCCCATCCTGAACCCCCTTCTTACCTCCCTCCCATCCCATCCCTCAGGGTCATCCTACTACACTGGCCCTGAGCACTCTGTCTCATGCATTGAATCTGGACTTGCGATCTGTTTCACATATGGTAATATACATGTTTCAATGCTGTTCTCTCAAATCATCCCACCCTCACCTTCTTCCACAGAGTCCAGAAGTCTCTTCTTTACATCTGTGTCTCTTTTGCTGTCTTGCATATAGGGTCATGGTTACCATCTTTCTAAATTCCATATTTATGCGTTAATATACTGTATTGGTGTTTTTCTTTCTGACTTACTTCACTCTGTATAACAGGCTCCAGTTTCATGTACCTCATTAGAACTGATTCAAATGCATTCTTTTTAATAGCTGAGTAATATTCCATGGTGTATATGTACCACAGCTTTCCTATCCATTCATCTGCCGATGGACATCTAGGTTGCTTCCATGTCCTGGCTATTATAAACAGTGCTGTGATGAACTTTGGGGTACACATGTCTCTTTAAATTCTGGTTTCCTCAGTGTGTATGCCCAGAAGTGGGATTGCTGGGTGGTATGGCAGTTCTATTTCCAGTATTTTAAGGAATCTCCGCCCTGTTCTCCAAAGTGGCTGTACTAGTTTGCATTCCCACCAACAGTGTAAGAGGGTACCCTTTTCTCCACACCCTCTCCAGCATTTATTATTTGTAGACTTTTTGATAGCAGCCATTCTGACTGGTGTGAGATGGTACCTCATTGTGGTTTTGATTTGCATTTCTCTGATAATGAGTGATGTTGAGCATCTTTTCATGTGTTTGTTAGCCATCTGTATGTCTTCTTTGGAGAAATGTCTGTTTAGTTCTTTGGCCCATTATTTGATTGGGTTATTTATTTTTCTGGAATTGAGCTGCAGGAGCTGCTTGTATGTTTTTGAGATTAACTCTTTGTCATTTGCTATTATTTTCTCTCATTCTGAAGGCTGTCTGTTCACCTTGCTTATAGTTTCCTTCATTGTGCAAAAGCTTTTAAGTTTAATTAGGTCCCACTTGTTTATTTTTGCTTTTATTTCCATTACTCTGGGAGGTGGGTCATAGAGGATCCTGCTGTGATTTATGTCAGAGAGTGTTTTGCCTATGTTCTCCTCTAGGAGTTTTATAGTTTCTGGTCTTACATTTAGATCTTTAATCCATTTAAAGAGTTTATTTTTATGTATGATATTAGAAAGTGTTCTAGTTTCATTCTTTTACAAGTGGTTGACCAGTTTTTCCACCACCACTTGTTAAAGAGATTGTCTTTTCTCCATGTATATTCTTGCCTCCTTTGTCAAAGATAAGGTGTCCACAGGTGAGTCGATTTGTCTCTGGGCTTTCTGTTTTGTTCCATTGATCTATATTTCTGTCTTTGTGCCAGTACCATACTGTCTTGATGACTGTAGCTTTGTAGTATAATCTGAAGTCAAGCAGGTTGATTCCTTCAGTTCCATTCTTCTTTCTCAAGATTTCTTTGGCAATTTGAGGGTTTTTGTATTTCCATACAAATTGTGAAATTATTTGTTCTAGTTCTGTGAAAAATACCGTTGGTAGGTTGATAGGGATTGCATTGAATCTATAGATTGCTTTGGATAGTATACTTATTTTCACTATATTGATTCTTCCAATCCATAAACACGGTATATTTCTCCATCTATTTGTGTCATCTTTGATTTCTTTCATCAGTGTTTTATAGTTTTCTATATATAGGTCTTTTATTTCTTTAGATAGATATATTCCTAAGTATTCTTTTCGTTGCAATGGTGAATGAAATTGTTTCCTTGATTTCTCTTTATGTTTTCTCATTGTTAGTGTATAGGAATGCAAGGGATTTCTGTGTGTTAATTTTATATCCTGCAACTTTACTGTATTCATTGATTAGCTCTAGTAATTTTCTGGTGGAGTCTTTGGGGTCTTCTATGTAGAGGATCACGTCATCTGCAAACAGTGAGAGTTTCACTTCTTTTCCAGTCTGGATTCCTTTTATTTCTTTTTCTGCTCTTATTGCTGTGGCTAAAACTTCCAAAACTGTTGAATAGTGGTGGTGAGAATTGGTACTCTTGTCTTGTTCCTGACTTTAGGGAAAATGTTTTCAATTTTTCACCATTGAGGGTAATGCTTGCTGTGGGGTTGTCATATATAGCTTTTATTATGTTGAGGTATGTTCTTTCTAATGCCTGCTTTCTGGAGGATTTTTATCATAAATGGATGTTGAATTTTGTCAAAGGCTTTCTCTCCATCTATTGAGATAATCATATGGTTTTTATCTTTCAATTTGTTAATGTGGTGTATCACATTGATTGATTTGCGAATATTGAAGAATCCTTGCATCCCTGGGATAAAGACCTCTTGGTCATGATGTATGATCTTTTTAATATGTTGTTGGATTCTGATTACAACAATTTTGTTAAGGATTTTTGCATCTGTCAGTGACATTGGCCTGTAGTTTTCTTTTTTTTGTGGCATCTTTGTCTGGTTTTGGAATTAGGGTGATGGTGGCCTCATAGAATGAGTTTGGCAGTTTACCTTCCTCTACAGTTTTCTGGAAGAGTTTGAGTAAGATAGGTGTTAGCTCTTCTCTAAATTTTTGGTAGAATTCTGCTGTGAAGCCATCTGGTCCAGGGCTTTTGTTTGCTGGAAAATTTCTGATCACAGTTTAGATTTCTGTGCTTGTGATGGGTCTGTTAAGATTTTCTATTTCTTCCTGGTTCAGTTTTGGAAAGTTATACTTTTCTAAGAATTTGTCTATTTCTTCCAAGTTGTACATTTTATTGGCATATAGTTTCTGATAGTAGTCTCTTATGATCTTTTGTATTTCTGTGTTGTCTGTTGTGATTTCTCCATTTTCATTTCTAATTTTGTTGATTTGATTCTTCTCCCTTTTTTTCTTGATGAGTCTGGCTAATGGTTTGTCTATTTTATCTATCTTCTCAAAGAACCAGCTTTTAGTTTTGTTGATTTTTGCTATGTTGATTTTTTTCTTTTTTATTTATTTCTGCCCCAATTTTTTGGTTTCTTTCCTTCTACTAACCCCGGGGTTCTTCATTTCTTCTTTTTCTAGTTGCTTTAGGTGGAGAGTTAGGTTTTTTATTTGATTTTTCTCTTGTTTCTTGAGTTAAGCTTGTATTGCTGTGAACCTTCCCCTTAGCACTGCTTTTACTGAATCCCATAGGTTTTGGGTTGTTGTGCTTTCATTTTCATTCGTTTCTATGCATGTTTTGATTTCTTTTTTGATTTCTTATGTGATTTATTGGTTATTCAGAAGCATGTTGTTTAGCCTCCGTATGTTTGTATTTTTAACAGTTTTTTTTTTCCTGTAGCTGACATCTAATCTTACTGCATTGTGATCAGCAAAGATGCTTGGAATGATTTCAATTTTTTTTAATTTACCAAGGCTAGATTTATGGCCCAGGATGTGATCTATCCTGGAGAAGGTTCCGTGTGCACTTGAGAAAAAGGTGAAATTGATTGTTTTGGGGTGAAATGTCCTATAGATATCAATTAGGTCTAACTGTTCCATTGTATCATTTAAAGTTTGTGTTTCCTTGCTAATGTTGTGTTTAGTTGATCTATCCATAGGTGTGAGTGGGGTATAAAATCTCCCACTATTACTGTGTTACTGTTAATTTTCCCTTTCATACTTGTTAGCATTTGTCTTACATATTGTGGTGCTTCTATGTTGGGTGCATATATAATTGTTATATCTTCTTCTTGGATTAATCCTTTGATCATTATGTAGTGTCCTTCTTTGTCTCTTTCCATGACCTTTATTTCAGTCTATTTTATCTGATATGAGTATTGCTACTGCTACTTTCTTTTGGTCTCCATTTGTGTGAAATATCTTTTCCCATCCCTTCACTTTCAGTCTGTATGTGTCCCTTGTTTTGAGGTG